ACATAAAAAATAGACTCTTCCTAGAGTCAGTTCTTAGTCACGACTCAAATTACTTAGTACAAAAAGAAAAGACTACTCTTCCACAATTACTAAAAAAAAAAAAAAAAAGAAAGAAAAACTACTCTCTCTCTCTCTCTAGCATGCATGAAGAAGCCTAAAAGCAGTTGGCAACCGTTTGCGCGAGGCTCTATGAAGATAAACAAAGCAAGGTTAATGCTCATGATAAAAATAAATTTTGCCCTGGTGCTGTTGTGCTATGACTAGTGTTATCAAGATCGGCCATCGAACTAGTGACGTTTGGTCCGATGGTCCAAGCACTAGTTGAACCCATTGGTCTGGATTAATCGATGGAACAGTTTAAAAATACAATATGTATTAGAAAAACTCGTCTAGTTTTATTTAAGTCGAACTAGTTAAATTCGACAGGTCTGAATGGCTACAACCAGTCAAACATTGATTTTGACAGGTTTTCAACCGAACCCCATTTTTACCATGGACTAAACCGGCCAAGGCACTAGTCAGTAGTCAGACCGATTGAACCACCAGGTCAATCCAGACCGGTCTTAATAATTATATTTGTTAAGACAAACAATGTGTCAAACTTCAAGTCATGATGACAATTAATTTTATTTGGAATGGGTTGTCTTATCTAAAATTAATATGATATAGATAATATTATTTTGTTAGCTGTTGGGCATGTATCTTGTATTATATATAATGTTATTTAATTATTTAACTTTTTAAGCAATTTCCAAAAACTTTAGTTAAGTTTAGTTACTTCTGGCTAAAAACACTTTTTAAGCAATTTTCATCAAAATTTAGTTGATTTTAGTTACCTCTGGCTAAAAACATGTTTTTCAGCAAATTCCTTTGGATGAAGTAAAAGTAACTTTTTAAAGGATGAAAGTTAACTATATCCAAGAAAACAAAATGCCTTTGAAGTTTAATTGAAATACTGAATTAGTAGTGACAACGAGTACATTCAAACATGCCCCTACGATAAATTATTCAATGATCTAAGTTGGCAGCCATTATATCCTTTATGGACTTCAAGAATTTCACCTTTGCATTAATGCGGATGTTGCTCCAACTTCTTCCAAATAAGCATGTAATAGATGAATCCTAGGATCTATGAAAAACTAAATTTAAAAGACCAGGCCACTATCCCTCCCAGTGAGTTTCAATAAGGACTTGGGTCAAGATCAGAGGCTCCCAATCCTGAGAAAGGAAACTCGACTTAGCTGTGTCTAAAAAAGACTTGGCTGAGTCCTAAAATAATAATAATAAAATATTGAAAACCAGTGAGATTTGGCTGGTTCACATGGTTTTGGTTTGGGACTCAGCAGGCTGCAGAGTCCAAGAAACTCGGTGGTGGGCCTGAGCAGACTCCCGACAGTTAATGGCCTGACAATTATGCATTAGCCAAATTTGCATTGTAAAATCCAAGTTTCCAAAATAATCTTCCAGTAAAACTTCTTGTAATTTCATTTGAGGCTCTGTAGTGACAAGACCTATCTCAAATGAGAGCGAAACGTTGATTCAACTCATTGGAATGGAAATAATAAAAGATTTGATATATCAACTACTTAAAAAATCGGCGATCCAGATCAGAACCAGCCGATCCAGATCGGGAATCGCTCAGGCCGATCGGGATCCCATAAAATATCGGGAACCGACTAGTTCCCTATCGAATCTGCTGGTTCCAGCCAGTTATATCAAAGAAATAGCGAGAGCCAGCCCACTTTTTTTAATCTTTTTATTTTTTAATAATTGGAACCGGCCAATTTGGGCCGGTTCTATCCGGTCCTATAACAGAACCTGCTGTTCTATTAGAGAACCGACCAGAACCAGTCCCACTTAATTTTTTTTGTTCTTTTAATTTTCGGTTCAATAACAGAACCTGCTGTTCTATTAGAGAACCGGCCAGAACCAGTCCCACTTAATTTTTTTTATTCTTTTAATTTCCGGTTCAATAAACCAGATAGCCGATCTGCGGAATCGAGAATCCGGAGTGCTGATGAGGGTCACCGATCTGGTTTTCAAAACCTTGATTCAAACACAACAAAACAAAACTGCAATATGGAGCAATATTATGAATAACAGTCATTAATCTATCCATCCATGCAAAGAAGCTACAATATGAGCTGACCATTTTACCTTTTTTGTGTAGTCACTATTCAATGGGAAGGCATACCACGATCCCATTGAGGATGGTATAGTATATCCAAAGGGCAATGCATCACCATTTCCGGTGATGAATGAGGGAGAATGACCTTAGGGGGACCAGCTGCGATATTCATGAGGAAATGGTCAATCTCCACCCTCCATTTCTGGAAACATGTGATGGATGCCCCTTGGAGCACCATATATTACGATCCACATTCCACTATGGCATACATTTTCCCAAGTCACATAGCACAAGGAGCAAATCTTCCAAGGATGTACTTACAATAATGTCCCGCCAACTGATAGGTATAAAGTACCAGATCCAGCAAAGGGTAAACTAGCAGCCATGACTTGGAGTGCCATAGCTCCAGCCTAAGTTAATCAAATAAAAAAAATGAAAGATCAGATCCATCGTAATATATTGAATGGAAAATAAAGGAGTGGACGTAATTCTCACCATTCCAAGGAAACTCCCCAACAGAAGGATCTTCCTGCCTAATTTATCCATCAGAATCATGGCAATCACCGAACCTGAGATGGAAAAATAATGAAAAAATTTATCGTGACAATCAAACGGAAGCTTTAAATGCAAATGTTTTTGTACCTGATAACTTATTTAACCAATATAAAGGGTATATACTGTAACTGGATAGGCCATGGGAAAACCATTACATAGAGTCATCACCATACATGGACTTCATGGATGGTGGTGGGGGAGCTGTTCCACTAGAACAAGAAATAACCCCAATGGAGGCTCCACTCTCTACACATCATCCATTGTTTCAATAGAGAGTGAACCAATCAGGCACTAGTTTTCTATAGTCTAGTGGCTTATAATATACTCTCCAAACAATAGAAAAATGTACCTGACAAATTTGATAACCCCACACAAACATTTGCTAAATCTGAGGGTACACCAGCACTCTTGAAAACGGTAGAAGAGAAATAAAATACAGCATTTATCCCTGATAACTGTTGCAGTGCAAACAGTGTTGAACCCATTTGTACAACTGCATAATGAAACAGTATGTTAAGCCAAAGGAATTTAAGCATAGAACAGTAAAATAAAAGTATAAATGAAGGAAAAAAAACCTGCACAAAATAAGAGAAATTATTTCTTGAATGTTCAGTAATCAAACATCGAAACGTGTAAAAAAAAAAAAAGATACTGAAGGTAATGCTTAAAACTTATGTGCACTTTGAGTTGGGGGTTAATCTCTTAACTTACAAAAAGAATTTGAACACCCACAACATTTCAAAAAAAAAAAAAAATTGAAGTGTTGGAGTAGACACTCCCAATCCAAGGGATATATGCTCCTAGCACATTGAAGATTGAAGAAAGAAGAAGCAAAGCCAAGGCTCGCTCACAGAGCAGAATAAAACTTCTGAGAACTCAAAAGAACCACATATTTTGTACTTCCATTATTATTATTATTATTAGTTGATAAGTAATCATGTATTAATTAGTGAAGAAACAGGAAATAGCTGAGTAATGCTTCAGATCTAAAGAAGAGAGAACTACTACTAGATCCTACATAAACCTTATGTTGGAAACATTTTCTGAAACGTAAAATCATTTAACTGTTCAAGTTATTAAAGACATGTGCTTTCTCATATATGTACATGAATTAAGAACAAAATGAATATCTTAAGTTGAAAAGAACACAAATAGAAAGTTTTAGGGCCTTGAAGAATTGTTCATCATATGTTGGAACCAGTGATTTAAAAATCGTCGAGTCAGCACGGACTCGAGCGAGTTGACACGGGAATCGGTCACCCCGAGTCGATTCCTATAAAAAACAGTGTATCGCTCGGTTCTAGAAGAGAAGCGGCAATTATCTACAGTGAACCGCCCGAATCACTGTATAGAATCGGCGTGTATTACGTTTCCAAGGGTAATTGTGATATTTGATTTCAAAATGAAGGTAATTTGCGCACTGTGCTGACATCAGTCCCACACACAATCACATGCCCCATGTCCCGTTCACTCGTGCAGTGGTAAAGCACTCGTCCTCAGCAGAGTGCAAGCAATCGTCCATATTGAGGACACACAAGCCATCACCTAATAAACGGCCATATAAAATTTTTCCAAGCCATTAATTTTTGCAAGCCAATATCCATACGCTTAGCGTCCATAGTTTTTTAATTTAGCATGTCAAATTAGTGTGTCAAATTAAACAACGGCCATATAAATTTTTTTGCTATTTATAAGTAAAATGGTTTTTTCAATGGGTTTTATTACAATATTTTATTTTTATTTTTATTTTTTTTGTAGCTATTGTGCATATTGCTGATAGGATTTTTTTGTTTTTTTGAATTTTTTACATCTTTGTTCTTCATTTTTTTTGGGTAAAGTTTTTTTAAATTTTTTAATATAATAACATTAGAATTTATTGGTGGTTTTATTTTTAATTTTAATCATATGATATGAAAGCCTTTTCTAATAATTTTTTAATCACTTTTACTATAATATTATAATTAATAGTTATATATTGATAACCAAATCTTTGTATTTTATTTATTTATTTATTTACATTATAAATTATGTAATGTATTATTTTTCTTATAGTTGTAAATAAGATTTTTTAAATTTGAAGATATTATAAGACATTTTAGATTTGTTCTTATTTGTATAGTAAAATAATTATAAAATATAAACATAATACTTTTAATATCATAACGTTGTGTATTATTTTCAATTGATAGTCAATTTATAATTAACATGTGAAAATAACTTGTATTGTTCAACTTTATTGTCAATTATTTAATGCAAATACATATTGCAAAATTTTAGGGTTCTTTGACTAATTAATTTTAAAACAATTGATTGATTAAAATTGTGAATTAATCTTGGATGCCCACTAATTTAGATGATTTGTTCCTAGATTGAGTCAATGAATTGTCACACGAATTCAATCAATGGCACAAGCGTGACCAAGATGAAGAACAACATCGTCTTTTATTTTGGTATTAGGTCGTATTTTACGAATTATATGCTTTATTGTAGTCCATATGATTATATACTTCATCTGTGATAATTCTATATTTCTCCCTTTGTGTGATGTAAATTTAATGGTTAACAGTAGTTCATATAGGGAAAGGGCATCTCAATTTTCGCAAATTGATGCAAAAAAATTGAAAGTTATTAATGTAGTACCCCTATTTCGTATTGGATTCCTAAGAAAACAACATTTATAATGATTTTTAATATTTTCTTTAGATTTTTTTAAAGGGGAATCTGAAACACCGATTCCCCGATCCGGATGGGTTTTTGGGGTGCCCGATCCGGGGCACCGATCCGTTTTGTAAACCACTGGTTGGAACCCTTATCAAAGTTTGAAGTGAGAGCACATATAAAGAAATATACCAAGGTTTCAAACAAACCTAGCCCAAACTTTTTCCTTAGCCAATTGGAGGGACTACAAAAATACATCATGCACAACGTCTAGAGACCCATGTTTTGGCCAAGCTACCACGTTAGCCTCGCAAACCATTAGAAAGATAATGAAAATTCCCTAAATAAGAGTAGACACACATGCGCACATGCACCCACATGCCCATGCATGCACAACAAAGCATTGCATAATAAATGGAGAAAACTAGAAGTCTAGAAACATTGTTTAATTGTCCCTCAAGCAATCACCAAAGGATACAAAACACAATAGTAAACAACTTCCCTTAGATGCAGCATATATACAACACTTGCTAACATTTATTGACATCGAGTACCAATCAAACAGACCTTTATAGTGCAAATGTATAGTGTATTAAAGGAAGACATGTAATCCCCAACAAATTTGGGCGCATATGATGAATTTTCTGTTCTGATTCAATGTCTCAAGCATAATAACTCAGCATGTGTAATCTTACAAGTGAAATTAAAATGATCCTAGTCGATCAGGTAACAAATCAGAAGTGAAAAGCAAATAATAGTTCTCACCATTAACATAGAGGTTTCAATAAGGAGACGTCAAATGGATATTGGCTTTAACTGCCAGTGTATAGTGATACCTAATCCTTACATACCCTTAAAATGGCGACCGTAAAGCAAATCTACGAATCGTATGCTATCCGCATTGTCGCCCTTGTCTGATCGTGATAGCTCTGCAATTGCAGATTTTACATGTGCCGCACCCAAAAGCCTCTCGAATTCCACTTCAGCTTCAATTGATCTTCCTTGCTGTACAACAACTCAGCTACCAATAAACAAAAGCTACCATACTATGAGTAAATTAAGGGCACTGTAGTTTCTTTTATATTGACCTTAAAGGAAAGAGCTGTTAAAATCCAATGTTACCATACTACGAGTAAATAGAGACCACTCTAGTTTCTTTTATATTGAGCTAAAACGAAAGAGCTGTTACAATCCAATGCTAATTACACAGCAGAAGAGGAAGGATGAAAAAATGGAATATAAGTCCATATTTAATGAATGACAGGGAAATCGAAGCAGAAAAGAAGAGAAGACCTTGTAAAGCCAATGAGGACTCTCTGCACAGAGTTCAAAGCCGAGTGCAAGAATCGCAGCAGGGATGGCAGATACCCAGAAACAAACCCGCCACCTAGAGTCATTTGAATTCAAAAAGAAATTGGTTTAAAATGAGTTATCGCAACAGAACCCATTATTTGTCCAAGCTGAAGGTTGTAAAACAAACATCTGTCACCCTTTTTTCTTTTCTTTTCAAAAAAAAGTTAATCATTTTATTATTGTCTCTTACCAACCAGAAATTCCCTTTGCTGGGATGCCCATAAACAAAGCTCCAATAAGACCAAGACAAGTTGCAATCTGAATAAAGCTCCCATAGGTCCCTCTTACATTTGAAGGAGACACCTGTATTTTTTAATTCCCAGCCGTGAGGAACATCTAAACTATTCACAACAAAGAAATCCACCCAAGAGCTAGTATTAGGAGAATGATGCAACCATTCCTTGTACCTCAGTAACATACAAAGATGCAACAGGAGGGCCCAGACCCATCCCAGTTCCAACTAATAATCTCCCAAGAAGCATGCCTTCCAAACTTGATGCAGTTGCACTATCCACAAAAGAAAGAGCATGCTTAGTGCAGTTTCTCACACCCAAAACGAAATGGTGAATCCAGAACTATTTAAATACATGAGCCAGTACGAAGATGTGGACAGAAACACAAATGAACCAAATGGACTGACATAATCAATGTGTCATGTATAGAATATAGTTTATGTGATGCACTATCATGTCCAATGAAAAGCATAGATTAACTAAAGACTCTCACAGCAAATTGATTAATGAAGCAATACGAAATTGATTAGCAACGCAACGATAATGCTTCTCCAATTTTTTATTTTTTTAAAGGAGTTGACAACAAATGAGTCTGAAATGATTTGTGATATAATTTCATGGGCAACGAATCTCACTTTCTCATTAATCCTGAAGACACCAAGTCTTAATGATTTATATCTGCGCTGTTTTAGCCTTAACGTCAACAACAAACCATGTTTATCACCAGTAAATTACAATTGAAAAGCCAATATCAGAATACAAAGCTGAGTTCTTCAAAGAAATAACTCATTAAGCATGGGGAAAAAGCAATTATCACATCCCGGCATGAAAGAAGAATAAAGAGGCTGAATACTTCCTCCATCACATATTTCTCAAACTAAATCAGCAGAAAGGCAAAACGAAGACTAAGTTTTTACCTCACAAAAGCTCCTATTATCATAGGTACAGCGCTCAACTGGAAAGCCCTACGACGGCCAAGGGCGTCTGCTATCCACCCGCTGAGCAAGCATCCAACAAAGGCCCCAACCAAACACATGCTCACAACAAGACCTGCAATTATTTGAATAAGAGTCCTTTCATGGTATTATAAGGCGTTAAGTCTTGCAAAACCAAGTGGGGCATACAACGCGCCAAGCAAAACACTAATTAGTAAGTGAGTGGGGGCTATAAACACACAAAGGACAAGTACTAAACAATATGTAAATGATCATCATATACCTTCAGCCAAGGTATTGCCCCCAAATCCAAGATCAAAAGCAATGCTCTCAAGAGGCTCATTGACAACTCTGGTAGTAAGGCAAGGCCCATAAATTAATGTTTTTGATTTCAAGTTGCTTCTGTAAACTATAGGGAAGAACAGATAGGCATATACATACCCAATATGGTAGCCGAATAAGAAAGATGAAATAGTTGCTACGCAAACATGCGGTAAAGAATATCTCCATGAAGGATTTCCAGCTTCTTGACCCATATTGTGCTGTAAACAAACTGCAATTCTACATATGAGAACATAACCTACTTTATTCACAAGAGAGAGAGAGAGAGAGAGAGAGAGAGAGAGAGAGAGAGAGAGACTACTAGTAAAGTAAAGAAGAACTAATAAATAAACAAACTAACAAC